GCTGATTTTTGATAATATTTGAATGCCTTGTGTTCATTCTTCTTAACCCCAATTCCATTATCATAGCAATTTCCAACATTATATGTTCCTGATGCATCACCCATTTTGGCTGATTTTTGATAATATTCGAATGCCTTCTGTTCATTTTTTTCGACTCCAATTCCATTTTCATAACAATAGCCCACCGGAAATACGCCATCAGAATCTCCCATCTCGGCTGATTTTTGATAATATTCGAATGCCTTATATTTATTCTCTTCTACTCCAATTCCATTACCGTAACAATTGCCAACATTATATATTCCTAATGTATCATTCATCTCGGCTGATTTTTTATAATATTCAAATGCCTTATGTTCATTCTTTCCAACTCCAATTCCATTTTCATAACAATAGCCAACACCACGTATTCCATTTGCGTCGTTCATATCTGCTGACTTTTGATAACATTCGAAAGCTCGCTTTTCATTCTTTTCTATCCATTTACCATTGAGATGACAGCTTGCAAGAATAAATTCGACCATTGGATTTTTTTTGTTTTTTAGACACCGATTAATTACATCTTCCGGTTTTAGCCGTTTTTTGGTCAAATATTCTTCTAACATGAAAAAAACACTTTCAGTATTCTTTCCTTTTAATCTTTCCCTGTTATACAAACTATATAACTCTTCGGTAACTCCATTGAGAAAATCTTGTGACTTATTGTTGTCGTATAAGGGCGATGGCTTCAAGTTAGATGACATTCTAAAACGTTTTTTAGAAAAGCACATTACTTTGCGTGTGATATAAAGGATTGCCTATGTAACACAACACATAATTATGGTAGATACGGAACCATTGATGCTATACGCGTAAAATTTTGTCAATTAAGGTTAGTAAAAAAATATTAAATTATAAAATGTAAAATTTTTTAATGTAAATTTATAGATAAAAATATTTTAACAAAATGCATGCTCGAACGCAGTAAAAACTAAATCAAAAATATGCAAGCTTTGCTGAAATAAATAAAACATCTAAATAAAAAATAAACGAGTTAATAAATTAATAGAAATAGAAATATATATAATATATAAAATAAAAATAAACAAAAATAATAATATCAACAATAAATTGCACGTAAAAACTTTTTTCGTTGATTCTTTTCCAACCAAAAATTTAGATTTTCTATGAAAAAAACAATAGCAACTTTATGTAAAAAATTTTAAAATTTTTTATTTGCTAAAAATATACAGTATATTATCGAAACATATAAATCCAATACTATTATATGAATTATAAAAAATAAATAATAATATAAAAAAATCCTGTATAAAATTTTTATAATTTATTTACAGTAATAAACTTTTTAAAATTTTACACGTGATAAATTAAAATTTTAAATGACGATAAATATTATAGATTATTATTTAAATAATAAATTTTTTATTAAAAAATTTTTTAAAGTTCCGTGCAGAACTAAAAAAAAAAAAATATTTATCATGTCATGTTATAATCAACAAAATAAGAAACGTGTATTGCATACTGTGCTATATAATACAATAATCGTCAATAAATTATCGATTGGAAGTAATGAAATAAAGAAATACAGAAATCAAAAATTTTATTATTAAAATTGAATGTTATAATTGAATTGTGCGTTCCTGTAAATTAAAAAAATATTAATAATATTTCTATTTTTACCAATGCATTATTTGAATTAAATAGCGTCTCCAGCAAAGTTGATATCATAAAAATTTTTTAAAACTACGCGTTAAATTTTACAATCAAGTTCCGCTGCACGTAAAATTAACATATTCATTGTTTACGTCTTTTCATACGAAAACAGTAACAGGCTTTAATTATTTTGCACTAATATTTAATATTCAAATTCTTCAACAATAAGTTAATTTATTAAGCCGTTATAATATCCTATCGTTTAATTGACCGATTCAATTTTAACGAAAAGGTACTTATCTTTCTATCAAAAAGATATTGACTTCACTTTATATACATTATGTTTAATCAGTTCAAATAGCGTGTGCCAAGGCAGACTTTATTAAGAATATTTATACGCGGAAAAAGGCTTTTTTTTATAACCGATTCTGAACTATTATGTCAATTCACTAATCCATCCTTTCAACATTTCCAAATCAACATTAATTCCGTTCTCAATTATCATCTCACCAACTTTTCTTGCTCCATCCTCATTTCTATTTTTTATAAAGCATTTGATCATATATTCACACGCTATCTTATTGATCAATATCCTTTTGTTCCAAGCTGCGTTGCTTCTTAAATCATTTAACTTTTCAAGACTTTCCCACAAATCTTCCATTTTCTCTAACTTTCCTAATTTCCAATATTCATTCGTCAGCATACTGAATCCCCTACTTACCTCATCATCTTCAACCTTCCCAATACACATGTGTTTTAATATTCTTTCCGCCATTTCAAGATCGTTTTTCCCGATCAATAGTTTCATGATGTTTCCATACATTCCACTTACTCTCATACTCATCCCCCGTTCCCACATTCCACCATATATTTCTGTCGCCACTCCAACATTTTCGTGTTTCAACGCGTATTCCATCATCATATTCCAAGTATAATAATCTGGCATCACGTATTTTGTTGACATTGACTTAAAAATATTTGCGTTCACCTGATCCCAAAACACATTGGCCGCATTCTCTATACCTTGCGTCTTGATTAGATTTCTCAGAATAATGTGAAATATCTCGAGTGTTGGTTGAATCGTGAGCTCGCTCATTGCCTTATAGATTTTCTTGGCCATCTCGAAATTTCCGGCTTTCGCAAAGGCTTCGATTATAATGTGAAAGGTATTAGCATTAGGGAACAGATTCGAATTTCGGATAACATTGAATATGTTCAATACATTCTTGATTTCAGGGTGGTTTGATAAACTGTCCTTATCATTATTAGATGGATCGATTTTTGAATCAATAATATTCAACTCTGTTTGCGCATCTTCATCACGTTTGCTTCCATAAGCCTTCATGAGAGCATTGTAATGATGAATATTAGGTTTCATGTTATTTCTTTGCATCAAGTCAATAACCATTTTCGAGCCCTCAAAATCACCGGCTGCGCATAAACACCTTATCAGATACAAAAGGGTCACACGATCCGCCGAAAATTTTTTTCGTCGCATTTCCTGAAATACTTGCATCGCATTCTTTGAATTCTTTTGTACTTCCGCGAAATTAATCATAATCCTATAAGTATCAACGTTCGGGGTTAGACCCAATTGCTGAATGTCAAGCAAAACCTCTTGTGCCTGCTCGATCCTTTCATTATTCACCAAGATTCGAGCCACAAGATTGTGAATATAAAGATCCTTACGAAAGTAACCCAAGAACTTGGACTCCCTGTAAAGCGTCAACACGTCAGTCAAGTAACCTTCTTGATAATATGCCAATAGCATTAGCCTGTATGTTTTTTCGGATAATGTTATTTTTCTATCCAAAGATTGCGCGTAAACCATCCAGAGGTGCTTAAATTTTTTTCGCATTGCACAATATTCAATTACTTGCCCATAAATGCATCCGAGATTTGAAGTGCGTGTGCGTTTTAACAAGAGTCTTGCTGTTATCATCTCATTCCGATTCAGGCAAGCATCTACTATCATTTGAACTAGCTCAAAATCTGGCGATGGATTGACGGTAAGCAATTTTCCGTAAAATTTTTTTGCTTTGTCAAGGTCATTTTGATGAATAAATGTTTGCACTAGTATGGTGTAAATTTCTTCCAATAATGATGTTTGCCACGATGGAATCTTGGCAATGTTATCGTTATTTATTATTTCATTGTCAATGATTTTGATATTATTGGCAGGAATACTGTTATCAATACCACTACCACTCATATCGACAGGCTTTTTAGGAAAAATAATGCCCGGTGCAGCCAATCCTTCCTTTACAAAGTCCATGAAGATTTGTCCCGCATAAAATACATCATTGTTTACTATGAACCCATCAATTAACGCGGCATAAGCATCCATATCTAACCTAAACTGTTGCGATCTCACTTCATTTAAATATCTCTTTGCCAAACCAGTATCCTTGCCTCCTTTACTCATTAGGCATCTCAAGAGCTCACTGTAATCAACAGCTCGAAGAGCAAATCCTTTTCCCCTCATCTCCTCAAAAGCTTCCACTATACCTAATCGATCTTTGGTCTTTCGATGTGAAACCAGCAGCAGATGATAATCATCGTGTGTAAGATTGAATCCTTGATCCAAAGCCGCTTCCAATACTGAGACAGTGTGTGGGGGGTGTATTTTAGAAAAATACTCTGCAAGACGACGTAAATCATGCAACGAAGCACCCTTAAGATTATCTGGATCATGCAACAATTCCTCGAAGATTTCGTAGATCCTCCAATACTTTGACTTGCTGTTTCTCGACGATAAAAGTGCTCTGATCAGTCTTAGTGGGGTATAATCGGAAACAATTTTTTTCCATTCTTCGGTTTTCTCTTCAATCTCCTCCGATGTCCTAGTGTCTAATTTTGAAAAAGTTTCTTCCGATATCTCTTTTTGGCGCAAATTTGTTAATTGAACAAATTCTAGTTTCTGTTGAGATGCGATGATCTTGCTGACGGCCTTCATCTGACTGGAAATAAATAGAGCCTGATACTTTTGCCTTTCGGAAATATCTTTACCAAGCCTCAATTGTTCCATGAGAATTCTGGCTTGCTTACGGATTTTTGATTTTCGCCTGACGAGAAGACGTCGCTGTTTGTATAATGATGCCAACTTTTGTCTCGATAGTTTCCTAAGTAAGAGAACTTTAGGACGCGTTTCTTCTGTCATTTCTTCCTCATCCATCGAAGACGGGAAGTTCGCCTCATTTAGCTTACGACCTTTGTCATTCTCTTCATTTGAATGAAAAATTGATGAAAGCCTTCTGTTACAGTGGTTATGAATCAAATTTTTGCGAAAAAAGGGGGGATAGAGGAACGGTAAGAATGAGTTGTTATTCGAAAGTTTTAGCGATATTGCAGATGTGATTTGGGTCGATTTATTTACTGTTCTTAAAGCATCGAATGATCGCACAACTTTTTCTGACGGGTTAATGTGACATCTAATGTTTCTCGAACTGCGTAAAATGCCACTCATGCGTGTCATTATCTTTCGATGATTATAGATTTCATATTTTGTTTTTCCGAAAAAAAATGGTATTCGAGAGAGAAACGAGTAAATGATCGTCAAAAAAATTTTTTTTTTTAACTTTATAAATGTCACGGGATACGGTATGTACTGTACGTCACGTATTTACTATTTATTACATCATTGATGAAGATTTATAAAGTATAAATAAAGTCCTGTTTCGTACGTTTGAACAAGATAGTGTTAATAACAAAGTAACGTGAAGCGCAAGAAATTAGAAATTTTATCAAGGATAAATGAAAAGAAAAAGATCCATTACGTAAGAGTTAGCAATGCAAGTACTTCACATCCATTTTGGAACGATCGTACCGAGGAGATCGAGAAGGTTGTGGTTACCAGGAGGGATCGACTCTTCAGATTTGCCTACAAGCTTGTCGAATGGATCCTTGGCAAGAACAGCACAATGATCGTGGCACTCGGTTCGGACGTCAATGTTGATGACACCAAATTCGGTGAACTTATCGATCGTTACAATCTTCACTACCTGAACGATGAGCGCTTTGTAACTGAAGAACTCCTCTGGATAAAAGAGATCCCTAGGGAAGCACCTTTGTACACGATTCGACAATTGATGGTCGCATATAAACAAACAAGAAGTCGCACGGAAATAATTTTCGAATGAAGTATAATCAAAGAAGGATCGAACACAAACCATCTCGATTCCTGTTAACATACCACGAATCATCTGAGAGAAGAGAAAATAGTAGAGATGACAAAGCTGTATCTCGTGTAATCAGCAGATGTGCCTTTATCGATGAGTGCCATCATCGGCTGGCCCGTTGGTTATGTCAGAATCACGAGATCTCTTCGAGGATGTTTTGAAGAACAAGAAAAAATTCGGTCAAATATTGCTCATGTGATGCTAACTTGGTCATTTCAGCTCGAACCTAAATAGGATACCATATGCATAGTAAATTATATTAGCTGCGCTCGGGTAGCAGCATAGTACAGTAAGTGTAAAGCGTAATGTTTCCATTGAAAACGTACGTAGCAAAGTAGAAGTAAAATATTTAATGAGAGATAAAGTATTACAAAGTGATACTATTCCGCCTACATATTTATTTACTATAAAATTTAAATTTGAATTTTGTGCAAATCTTTGACGTCCTTTATATTACGTTTTAATTTGGAGGTCAGCATATTATCCCTTAAATCCAAACATGTCAAAGTGTTGTTCTCGCATAGTGCGTTGACCATCGCTTTTCCCGCTTGATCACCTAGTCTGTTTTTGTGTAGGTTCAAATCGGTCAGAGTAATATTCGTGTATAGAGCCTTGGCCATTGCTTCACCAGCTAAGTCATCAAAATTATTATTTTCAAGAGATAACTTGGTTAGAACTGTATTCTTGCATAGAACCTCGGCAATAATCTTTCCTGTCGCTTCTCCAAGTTTATTTTGCCTTAGGTCTAAATAGACCAAGGCGCCATTCTCTAACAGTGCCTTGACTAGCACTTTACCCGCATTATCGCCCAAATTATTTCCACCTAGATATAAGTTGGTTAGAGTGGAATTCCTACTTAGAACCTCGGCCAACGCTTTCACTGCCGATCCTCCGATATCGTTAAAGCTTAAATTAAATTCAGTAATGGTGTTATTTTCGCAGAGGGCCTTGGATAGGGCTTTTATCGAAGAACTTTTTAGTTGAGTGTTCCGTAAATTCAAATTTTTTAGTGTGGTATTTACGCATAAAGCCGCAGCGAGTGCTTTTACTGCCGGATCGCTTAGCTTACACTCAGATAAGTCTAAGTTAGTCAGGGTGGTATTTACTCGTAGTGTTGAAGCTAATGCTTCTATCGCCGAATAGTCTAATCCATTTATAGAAAGATTCAAATTTTTCAACGTTGTATTTTTTGACAATGCCCTGGCCAATGCTAGTCCCGAAGAATTGGCTAGTAGATTTTTCGATAAATTCAAATCGATCAGTGCGGTATTATTGTAAAGAGCATCCGCTATTAATTTTCCGGTCGAATCACCTATCATGTTCTCGGCTAGATTCAGTTTTCTCAAGGTAGTATTTCTGCCAAGAGCCTTAGCAAATGCCCTTGCTCCTAATTTGCCTATTCTATTTTTGCTTATATCCAAATCAGTGAGAGTGGTATTTTCGTGTAGAGAAGCGGCCAACGCGCATCCTGCGGATGGGCGTATTTTATTATTCCCCAGATCCAAACTTTTCAAGGTGGTGTTCTTATATAAAACCTTGGCTAGTGCATTTCCAACTGACTTATCCAAATAGTTCTCTCGTAAATATTTATTTTCCCGAAGATTCCACTTGATAGCATTTTCTTGATCTTCCGGCGTGTGCTGCGGGTCTCTGAGAACAATCTCCCAGAGCTCCAACGCCTTTGTGAAATATCCCTGCGAAATGGATGACTGGATCTTATCTCGTAATTCTTGAAGGGTAAGTTCCGGTATTGAATCATTTGAAACGAAACTATAGTCCTGTTCTGTGTTGGAATAAATTAAACGGGTAATGATATTAAGATATCTTTTGCGACGTCAATAAATTTATCGAACAGTAGCTCTCACCATACTCGGCAATTGTTTCACTTTCATACGAATCTTCAAAAGAGACAGCGGTGGCATCCGAGAATCCGCCTGTGGAATTCAAGTGAATTTAGATTATTGATCATATTAACAATTTTGATTAATTTGAACTTACACATGGAATTATTTTCCTCGTTAAGTTCAAGTGGATCTAAAGATTTTTGAATTAGACTTTTTTTTAATTTAAGAATTGCGTCACGTCATATAAGAATTTTACAAACCAATACCGGTGAACGATTCAAAAAAACCATCATTCACCGAACTGTCATCGGTCGAATATGAATTGGACCTTGTACTCGGAATGTTATTGGCCTGATATAACGGTTGTAACTCAATGTTTTCAAGGTAATTTAGAATAAGCCCTATTGTGGGACGTTGATTAGGGTCACCATGCCAAGCTCTAGAATAGATGTTCACATAATCTAACGGGGTTCCTTCGATTGGGTTTTCCCTTTTTCCGTCAATAATTTGCTTATATTCAATCTGAGGATCTCTTCCGCTTGATATTTCCCAGAACAGGATGCCCAGACTATATATGTCGGAAGGTTTGCCTCGTTTGTACTGGCGATGTTTTTCCAAGTATCGCGGATCACAATAAAAAATCGGTGCGTATCCAGAAGAAATTGTTCCCATCTCTCGAGACTTAGATAGACCAAAATCTGTGATCATTAATCTATCATTGTGTATTAAGACATTTTTGGAATGCTAAAATGTACAGTACGATTTTTCATTAATCAGAGATCGTTTGTTAAGCGAGTTTGCTTAGCATCCACTTACCAAGTCCCTATGAACAATATCAGCTTTGTGGATGCAGTACAAACCACTGGCGATATCCATCGCCATTTCAATTCTTCTCTTCCATCCAAGTTCCGAAAACCGCCCGCTGTTTTGTAAATCGCTCAGGTAATCGTGAAGATTTCCACCATTGGCATGTTCAAATACCAAGAAATATGTATTGTTCGTACTATCTATGAATTTGGAACACACGCATTATGCATAAAAAATTTCATCGAAATCATATTTTAACACCAAGACACACACTTACTCAGACTAACGCCCAAAAATCTTATTACATTGTCGCTGTGATCGATTGAGCTAATATTTCTTAACTGTTAATTCCGATGCAACATAGAGTTATTTAACCATGCGTAAATTTACCAACGATAATAGCAAAAAAAAAAAAACGGAAAAAACATCATTACCTCGTTCACAAATACTGTGTAAAAATCCCGAGTGTTGTCAACTTTTTTTAAGCTCTTTAAGACTACATACTTCCGTACGATCCTCAAGTATGCCTTTTCGACTCGGCCAAAGCCTCCGTTTGCAATAAATTCAAACCTCTCGAGTGAGTTATAGTCGATTGATCTGATGTATCTTTGTTCTACTGCAACATTAAACCATTCTTTCATTTCATCTTCCTTGCTCACGTTAGACATTTTTTTTTTTTTTACTTAATGTTTTCACACGCTGAGAATTATTATTTAAATAATTTTGTGGTTGGAATGATCATGTTTTTTTTTATTTCTTTATTTCCAAAATCTACCGAATTGCACATCCATAGTAGACTAAAATGGTCTACTCTAATGACGCTGCGTTGGACCATTTACCGTGTCCATTTTTACTCGCTAGTTTATTTATATCTTTCGTTCCTTCTTATGGAAGAATATGATGTATTTCAGGCATTTTATAAGAAACCAGTTCAAAAAGAATTAAAATACATGCACAGTATACAGTATACAGTATACTTTATATTTTATCATTCGCGTTTTTATTCTCACCCAGATCCTTTATTGGTATTATGAAAAAACAGAACGGAAATTATGCTACGCTAATAGTACAATATCTAATCGTGACTACCCTAATTATTCTTGTTAAACTATTACTTGTTTCTTTGTTTTTCTTACGACCTAACCTAAACATCTACAATTTTATGCTGATTTCCCCTAGTGTCCCAAAATCGTTAAATGACTCATCAATCTCATCTCTCTCATTATACTGTACTTGGTAATATCAAAGTTTGTCTAGCAACAAGTTTCCAAGCGTTCGGTTGTCTACACATCGCGCATCCTTCTTTTACCCTGCACTCTAATCTTCATTACTTTGTTTTATCTCAAAATGTTAGGAAGCATGTTGCAAGGCAGATCATATAGTCGACAAGCAAGACCCTAAGCAATTCCTCATTATTTTGACAATCAAATGACATATCCACCTGACAATCTATAATAAGCGAATATAGAAATTTGAATCAACATTCGATTTTTGTCGCGACTTGTCGAAAGGATGGCGTTTTTTAGCTTGCATGTGCAATCGTTTTTCATTTTTGCCATCTACGAAAAAAATTTTAATGAATGGGTGTGGTTTTTAAATCATAATATCGACCAGCGCTCAAAACATGCAGCACATAGAAACATAAACTTGTTTAAGTGTTAGTCGAATATTTTTTCTAATAACTGTCTTTAATTGTTACCGATTCTATTATTTATTAAAACAGATTTTTCGGGTTTTTTTGCTCTAGATTTATGATGGCGTTAAATGTTTTTCGGAATCTTTAGTATACAATATTAATAATGAACAAGAGAGATTTTTTATCTTTTTCAATCTAATAATTTATCCGTGTGAAAATTCCGAAAATTCGGTATTATTTTACTATTATTTGTGAGTTATCATAATTTTTGTTTATACAAATAAAATTTTGTTTATCTAATTATATCTAGAAATAGTAAATCTTTTTTTTATAAAAGAATTATAATAATTAATTATTATATAAAAATATTTTATAAAGTATAAAAACTTTACAATAGTTGTTGCTACAGTATCTTGGTTAAATATACAGTAGGGGACAAAAAAAATTGCCTAATTTTTCATGTGATTAAATTTAATGTAATATGTTCTTGTACCAACTTGGTAACGATTTGCATTTTGTTTTGAGGTCACAGCTACTCAAGGTGTTTTTTCCCAACTTCTCACGTTTTATTTTGTTCCAGCTTATAGCCAAAACATGCTGATAAAATGTCAGTTGCAAGGGAAAAGAGTTAATGCAAAGTTCTTTTGTATTATTGGAATGAGGGAATATGCAACGCCCAAGAATTACATGCAATGACGAAGATTTCCATCAGAACAATTTATTATAACATCAAAAAATTAGAAAAAACAGATACAAACACTTATGCCAGGGGCAATGGGCGATCAAAAATGATTACCAAATCCACAGCATGAGTGATAAGTCAGTATATTTGCAATAATCCTTCAATTTAGGTAAGAGCTATAGCTATCAAACTAATAGAAAAGAGATTTAAGGTCTCTTACAAGACAGTTCAGCAGCATTTGACAAATGCTGGGTATAAAAACAGTCTTCCCAAAAAGACTTCAATGCTCATCGAGGCTCAAAAGCAGGCACATGTTGAATAGGGGCTCAAACATGTCCAAGACAACTGGAAAAAAACATTCTTTACAGATGAAACTGCCTTTCAGCTCTTTTATAACATGATAAAGTATTGGTATAAGGGTTAAAGAACTGTCCGTTCTATTCCAAAGGACTGTAAAAAGATTATAGTGTGAGATGGGTTTTTTGAGAAATGAAAATTGAACTTGCACTGTTTCAAAGAGACAATGGATGCTAAGCTTTATGTTGATATTTTTTATGAGTATATACTTGAGATGAAGGAAATACTTGATACTCAATAGCGGTGGTAGCAAGACAATGATCCAAAGCACACAAGCTGTCTCACTAAGGCTTTTCTTCAAGAAAGAATGCCAGAAGTTATTGACTAGCCATTCAACAGTTCCGACTTGAACCCTATAGAGAACCTATGGGATGTGGTCAAGAAAAATGTGAAAAAATGTATGCCAAGTAATTTGAATGAGTTAGAAGAATATATGATCAAAAAATGGAAAAAATCCTCAATTCACTTTTAAAAAATTTGATAATGTCAATAAAGTGAAGATGTCAGAAGGTAATTGAGAGAAATGGTGAAAGAATATCATACTAATTTTTTTACCGATAATAAAATAAGACTTAATCTTTCTACACTGTAAATTACAAATTGTCTGGTGCAGTAGTTTGCTTGTTATAATGTGATTTGGAATGACAATTTTTTTTTGTCCCCTACTATATATTATAATTGAATTACATATCTAAATTGAAAAGATTTTTTTATTAGGCAGAGTTTCAAAATATTAATCAAATCATATAGAATGAATAAATAATAAAAGAATTGATCAAATTAATGTTTACTTCAAGAATTAAAAGATTTAATAAAATACATGTTTCATTTAAAAATCCTGTAATATTATATACAAAACTTGATATAATAAATATTTTTAAATGTTAAATTATATTGAATTTTCTGATAAATCAACTTTTTCATACAAAAAATTTTACACTGACAATTCAAAATTACTTGATTGCTTTTTCAAAAATATTTTAAAAAAATATTTCTAAAAAATAAAATTATAATTGAAAAAAAAAAACTCTCTTCTGATCATGTCCATTTTGTTAAAAAATTTTTTTATAGTAATTTTAAGCAAAAAAAAATATTTTACACTTTTTATCGCAAGTAAGTCTCAACTCAGAAACTCAAGAATCTTCAAGACAATTGGTGCAGTGGGATGAAACCTCTGGTCAAAGTCTATTCAAGTTTGGAAGTTTTGCTTATCCTTCAGTTGCATGAGGAAAGGCCCATGGCAGTTCTCTTTACTTCAGTTCTCTTATATCCCTCCTTACTCTTATTATATCATAAAAACCATATATATCATTACCATTATATTCACTAAGTCAAACACTTTTCAAAACATACATTTAAACAGAGTTAGTAGGTTTACTGTTTGTTTAAAGTCAACCCATATACATGATATTTTCGTAGAAATATTTGCTATGCCATTTTCAATTTCCAAAAAATTTTCACCCAAAAAACCAAAATCAGTTTACCTTCTCAAAATGATCAGTGCTCTTCAATTATCCAATCAGATTTCGCTTAAAGATTAAAACAAAACTCAAACAAGCTTAAACAGTTTTGTATCACAACAACGATTACAATAATAACAACAACTAATACACTATTAACAACTATAACAACAAACAATATCACATATACTATATCATCTATGATAACCAATGAGCTGGAGAAAGGAGATAACAAGCCTGTCCAGGGGCTTCTGAAGGGAAATAATTGATTTTCTACTTATAAATTTTATAGTATATTTGATTTAGTTTTAGTTACAGTTACTTTTATTTTTATTTTTAATTTTTTATACTTAAAAAATTAAAAGAATTTGCAAAATTTCCTGAAATGGTAGACATAGCCGCTACTCAGCCTTATTTAGCACATTAATATTGATTTTAAATTTTTTTATAATATTAGTTAGATATTATAAAGTAAGCAAGCTAACATTTAACTTATTGTATACAATGCACTCAAGAAATGTTGTTTCTTTCATGATGTATACCTTGTTATATACAATATCAAATAAAAAAATGATGTTTATCTACTGGGGAAACCCCTCCAAAAAAATTACAATTGAAAATACATAACCTTATTTAATATATTAACATGTTTTAAAAGTTTTTATAGTTAAAAAATTATATATAATACAATATTAAATATTTGAAACACATTATAGTTAATATAAATAAAAGTATAGTATATTAAAACAAAACAGAAAAAAATTATTGCATATTGTTATAATTACAAAAATAAAGTAACTATATTTGATTTTGAAATAATAAAAATTTTATTTTAAAAAATAAAATAAATTTAAAAAAAAGTAATATAAATTACAAACAGTTTATTTTAAAAAAATATTATTAATCACTTAAGAATTATTGATTGAATGATATATAACATGTTTTAATAAAAAAAATTTTATAGCTATTATTATGTAAATATTGATTAGAATTAACAATTAATTAGCAAGGAAACTATATAATAATATATAAAATTTATATAAAATATATTTTTTTTTAAATGAGTGGCTTACACCTTGTTTATTAGGTATTTATTGGTAAGTATGTACAAATTTATTTTATACAAATTTATCACTCAGTC